CAATTATTTTAAAGGTGCAATCGGCTGTGTGCGTTATAGTCTAATAGAAAGGTAGGGTCCCCATGCACCCCAAGGATATACTTTTTTAACCTACATTTTTGTATTCCTCAGGGTGTCTAGTAAATTAAATTTTATGTTCCCAATGCGAAATATTGTCCCATGGGGGCCATTGGCGGCCATCTTGGATTTCTTAGAAAATCAATAATTGGCATAATTTTTGAACCAGACATAACACAGAGACAACTGAGACTACTTTTTATGTAAGTTGGGCATTGGGAGGCGATTAAAATGGTTCTTGTTATGGTCAGACTGTTATTTAAACAAATTGTGTTCATAAATAAGGGGGGAAAAGAAAAATGTGTAGCTTATAGTAAGTGCATGAGGATCGATTAACAGGTAATACTAACATTTTTGTCGTTTTATGTATATTATGCCGAAGTCACAAAAAAACTGATAATGGTGGTTGGTCAAACGAATTTTTATAGTGTCCATCTGTAACATGTATATAACACGCGAGTGGTATCCAGCATCTAGAATTTATATCATTCAGTGCTATCAAGGGATCTGTCATTGAAAAGCTAGCTCAGCTCCATGGCATTCGTAACCGGCGTCTCTTGATGCCATATTATTCACACTACCGCATGGAGGATGTCTGTAATCGCATTCCGGAAAGTCTTGCTGATGCAGATTTAGACTCAATCGGCTACCATCGCGGCTGCTATCAAAACTTTACTAAAAACCTGGATCGTTTACAGTGTAGTGTACCACCGAACACATCTGAAGCATCTACGTCACACGTCTCGGAAGAAGCATCAGCATCACGCTCCCCTCGCAAACGATCATCAGCCTACTATGCGAGTAGTCAACTGTTCTCTCCAGAACGTATATTTTGTGAAAAACTTGAAATAAAAACTTCTGGAAAGACTGAACGATGCATTAAGTTCCCAGTATTCAAGGACAAAGACATAATTATAAAGGAACCTACATGGAAACAGATTGAACCTCGAGCCTTAGAACTAAATCTGCATCGTCTACATCGCATGGTTCAAAGAGAAGACCTGTTTGCAAGGGAATCAAACTTCCATCCATCATGTCGCAAGTCATTCAAGTTAAAGTACATCAATCATATTCGTGATGAAGCCAGAAATATGAACCATGCTATTTATACAGATCAGGATCGTACATTCACTGCACATCTGAAGGCATTTGATGCTGTGCTTGATACGATTGGAGACCAAGTGATAAGGCAGAACGAAGTCGTACAGCTTGCATCTCTACGCCTTTTCTACATTCAAGAGTTGGAGAGAAATGGCTTCCCCAATCCGGAGTACAGAAGTGAGAAGCTAAAGGCCCGACTTGAAAGGCATGCGATTCATGAGTTGATTGCATTTGCTAAAGTCCTTCCAGGAGACAAAGGTGTATCACATATACATTGGCTTACAGTGCCAGCATCTCGGTAGCAGATGCGGTAGCCTACGCTCATAAGTTGGGATCCAATGACCAGTGCGAGGACCTGGCCAAGCTCCTCCGTAGCATTATCCAGCGGGCGTTCACAGAGTCAAAGTCACTTCCGTGGCCTCCGACAGCTGATGATCTAGATGTAAAGTCAACAGATGAACTCCTCCCACGTGACCTCTTGAAATTCCTGCGTATCCTCATATCTAGAGATACAGACACAGAGAAGAGTGAGAAGATAAGACGTATTGTGCTCTCTATTGACCAGGTATGATATATACCCATCTTGGTGCGTGTGTTGTTTTTTTGTTTTGTCAACCCCATAGTAAGCATGGTTATGGTTGTTTTGTGTTATATATAGTGATCGTTTTCTGTACTATTACAGGACATCTGCCAAGCTGTGAACAAGGGCGAATGGAAGTTACCGAAACACATCCTCCTCAATGAACAAAATAACAACGAACGTGGTAAATAGCACCGGGGGATTATGATACAGGAGGTAAACCTGACTTTGATGCCACTAACCAAGATCGAGCACTTCCCCTCTACGAGAGAAACAAGACACGCTCCAGTGGCGGATCCAGAGGTTTTTTTGGGGCTTCAGGAACCCCCCCCACCCATCCCCCACCCCCCNCAAAAAGATAAACTGAGATCCCATTCCCCAGCTACTTATATCATAATAAACTGCAGTGGCGGATCCAGAGGTTTTTTTGGGCTTCAGGAACCCCCCACCCCCACCCTGAGAATTTTCTTTAAAAATCATATATTTTCACCATTTTCCTCATTTTTTTCCAACATGGAAACCCCCCAGATAGGTCTCTGGATCCGCCACTGTGCTCCTTGAAGGTGGATACACCTGAGACTCTAGCTCCTGTTCATATATATAGCCGGGTTGGTCCTAAATTTCCTGAAGGATCTGTATTCACTCCGCCCCCTGTAAACAATGGAGTGGCGAGAATCAACTTGTGCCAGGGTTTGGTGGCTTCATCTCAGCCACTGGCACCAAACCAACTAAGAAATCAACATCGACTATGTTACCCCTATAAACCACCCCTTCACTCAAGGAGCTTCTGAGGCGGTCAGAGGATGCTACACATGAAGTTGGTCAGGAGTATGACCTCAACACCTTTGATCTTGGTGGCTGCATGAAAGCTCTCCCGCTCATTTGGAAATTCCCAGAGCAGTTCCAAGATGCATGTGGTCACACCAGGCGCGTTCCATACTGGGATGAACTACATGTACATGGGCATGATGACAAATCACAAATGCAGCGGATCAGGCTACTCGGAAATCCTTATTGAATCTGGTCTTGTTAAAAGTGGTTGCTTGGGTAGTTTTATGAAAGGAAAAGCATATTCCAAAGCCCTGTTCTGTCTCAAAACAGTCAGTGAAGCCATGGAGCGACTGTTGATAGAGAGATTTATTGAGGAGAGAGTTGAGATCACCAACCCAGCGACCCTGCTAAATCTCTTCCAGACCTGTGACCAGGAGACACTTGCGCTAGTATTAATCTTAAAAATAATGATCTAATTCGTTTTGTTATGCTCAAATTACACAAAAATAAGTGGTGAGTTGCCTCTGTATCATGTCTGGTTCAAAAGTTATGCCAATTATTAATTCGAAAGAAATCCAAGATGGCTGCCAATGGGACAATATTTCGCATTGGGAACAAACCATTTCATTTACTAGATAACCTGAGGATTACAACAAGAGGTCCATGGGCCTTAACGGTCACCTGATATATTTACACAGAGAGTTGATTTTGTTTTAACACGAACAGAAATACTATTCAAAGTGACAAAAAACAATAAAAAAAAAACTTATTCAATATCTAGTATACAGATTTAAGACTAAAAAAGTATTTGAAACTAGAACCTCTGATTCTAAACAAGGAAAATGAAGAAATTTTAGCACACTGACTCCTTTGGGCCCAACCCTACAGCCCTTGGGGGTAGGGCTGGCTCAAAATTTTCAAAGTATCAAACTGTCAACTCAGGGTTATAATTTCAATCAAGTTATTAACATGTGATATTGAAAGTATCATTTG